ATGGTTTGTTAGAAAATTAAATTTAATTGAAAATAAATTTCGTTCGTAAAATTTTCCATTGAATAACAATAATTGTATTCTGTATTTTGATTAAAAAAATAACAAGAATTAAAATAAGGAAACAAAATAAAATATTTCTTGGTTTTGCTTTCTCTGTTTTAGCATAGCTCTTAAATTAGTACAAATTCTGCTACTGCTTGTTTGCTTTACAGCCCACAATTCCCAAATTTATCTTTCAGAAAAAGCGCTCTCGGAAAATGCCAGACCATCGCGACTGGCCGGCCTGAAACACAATTAAACCAAATGGAAAAAGCCGGCTGGTTCGCCCGGCATGAGCAGAGCACCGCACAAGGGTCCTCGAATTGTGCGGTTTGCCAACCACGTGCATGACTGGGACTGTCAGACATATTTCCCAGCTCTTCAATAAGGAGCAACCGATCGCGTCCCATTTTTTTTTTTATCAATCAATTTTTTGCATCAAAATAACCCAGAACTGAAAAACGGAGCGATAAAATTCGCGGAATTTTCCACGTGTGCTGCCTCTTAATAATTCACGTTTTAATATTGTGAAAGTATCCACAAGTTATTCTAAACCGGCTCACCGGGGAGAAATAAAAAAGATTCACTGATGCTGGTTTATTATGCATGAAAACCGAACGAGCCCCGTGTTGTAAAACTGCGCAATTTTTATTTCCGAGTGCTTTTGTGATTTAGCACCCGCGCCAGTGGATTATTCCCCCGGCTTTAGCCGAATGCGCGTTTGATGATTCAAATGAGATCCCGGCAGTTGATGCGAAGTGAGGGTCCGAAAGCTGCGGTTTTCGTGTGGAATGCTCCATCAGCAGCAGCAGAGAAAGACTGATTTATTTTCCTCCTTTGTTGAGCGACACGGACGGATCCTGCGTGGGAAAAGACAGCTTTGGGAGGGGCTCCCTGCTGTTGGTCAATTAATTTGGTAATTATCTGTGTGTTGCTCTTAAAGGATTTCGGAATTGATTAATTCCGTTTGCGGAGAGCGTCGCTAATTCCCTTAATTTGTCTCTTTCAGCTGCCACATCAAGAAAAAGAAAATAAATAAAACTCAGCAAGAGCAATTTTTGCAGTCTCATTTCGATAATCAAATCTCTGCTGCAAATTAGTCTGGCCATTAATATGAAATGAACTTGTTATGGTTCGCATCACACTGGATAAAACTGGTTTTGTTAAATTATATATTTTTTTTTAATTTTAAATATTTTAAAACACACAAAAAATATAAAAAATGACCTAAAAATATAATTCAATTATTCAATTTATTTAAAAAACCGAGAAACTAGACCTGTTAAAAAATTAACTTAATTCAGGAAAGTATTAATTAATAATGCATCTTTAATTTCAGTATGTATTAAATATTTAAAATGCAAAGAGTTACAAGAACCGTGAAATTTTTAAAATATACTGATTGAAAGTAATTGTCACGGAACATTTTTTATATAATTGGAGGTAATTGAAACATGACACGCTAGAAACCAGTCAAAATGTGAATTAAACTATTTAATATTTTGGAATTTGCCATTAATTTTCATTAACAAATTTTCCTTTATTACTGATTTTCCTGCGCTCTTTTTCCCTGCGCTTTTCTTCCTTCTTATTATAAATAACCAGGAAAAAATTCTAAAATTTCAAAGCAATCGGAAATTCTATACCGGCCTTTTTCCCTCCCTCGGGAAATATAACCGTGATTTTTTGCTCTTAATCAAATTCGCTCTTCACTTTTCCACCGCTCAAATCCAGCTGAAAGGTCGTGACAACGTTTTCAGCCAAAAATCAGCCAACCCTTTTTCCGACGCCCGAGGCGCATCTTGGGACCAACAGGCGGCTCGCTCTGCTCCTCCTATATAAATACGTGTTCCCCGGAAAAGAACTGCCTGCCGGCTTGGCTGGCAAAACCCCAAAAAATTGCCGGCGTTCTGCTGTGACAGCTGTGCGGTTTGGAGAGAGAGAGCCTGCGGGCAGCGCTGCGCTGATGGACCCTGCTGGATTCAACTTTTATTCAATTACACGTGAAGCAAAAAGAGAGAGAGAAATGCGGCGGCGAGTGACCGATGAGCCGGCTGGCTTTCGCAGCGAAACCCTCGTAAATTTGCACGAAATGAATGGGCAAGAAGAGAACTTTTCCACCAGCGAATTGGTGTCCGAAGACGTCTCTTTCAGCACGTTTTTCTCTCCGCTTCCGCCGCCGGTGACATGTTCTGCCGCTTTTCCTTCTTCGTTCTTTTGTGCCGCGGGGCCACCAAGATCATTTCGCTCTGATTCGCTGCGCAATTTTCTTTTTCATTTCCATCTCACAATTGGAAGAGCAAGACTTTTAGACTGTTGCGCATTAAACAGATCTTAACAGCAGATACGAAAAAGAAATAGAAAGACTTGCCCAAACGTAATGAAAAATCAGAAAATTCCAAAGCTAAATCTCAAGATATAGCGGGTGTATCTCATTTTCGATAGAATTCACTTGTATTGGTTCAACATAAAACAAGATAATTTCTTATTCACGATGGTTAAATCACTCGACGGAATTAATTGAATTTTGGTTCTTGCTTCTTTTCATAACTGACATACCTTGTTGCTTTTTATCTTTAACGACGACCTTCAAGAAATTTTTAAATATTTATTTTAATTTCATTAAAATAGAAGTGTACAGTTAAAAATGGATATTGAATAAATATAAAATTTCTATTAAATTTCGTCACTCAACCACAAAATTTACCATAACGCTGAATTTTGTTTCTATAAATTTAATATATTTTTATTTAATATTATTCAACATAAATTATAAATCGGATGAAATCACGTTTTACAACATCAAATTTAAGATTTAAATTCAAAATTTTTGTATAGTGAACCACAATTTATATTTTTCTTCTTCTGAAAAAATAATATTATATTTGTTTTTTGGCAAACTCCAATTATTAAACAAAAATTTTACCTTATTTCTGTATTTTTTTTTATAGTTATCAGTGTGACAATAGTAACTTTTATGCAAGATTTGGCTTGAAAAGCTCTTAATTTATGCCCAAACAAAGCCAAAGTATTTATTTACAAAATATTTACAAATCTGACACATTCGCCGTACTCTGAAGAAAAATTAGACGTATCACGATTTCCCCACCTTTTTAGCTAAATTTTTAGCATCCCTTGAATGTTGAAAGCCAATTAGAGCGCAAGTAAAACAGAATCTCGCTCATTCATACTCGGCGGCCGCGGCGTCCTCGAGAGACAAGTGGCGGCGGCGGCGTTCAGTTGCTCGCTCGGTTTCACCCCCGGCAGTGATTAACCCTTTGGTCTGCGCGGTCGGCTCATTAGCCCACCTCAATTGGCCCCTTTTGTTCGCCGCACACGAAATTTCGCTCCGGGAGGGAGGAACATCCCTACCTGCTGGAAATGAGGCGAAATGCGCCCTGCTAAGCCTTTTTAGCGGGCCTGTCCATTACGTGCGACACGCCCTGAGAAAAAGCTCCGTTGGATTATCCCCGAAAGGCTCATTAGACGCTGACCTTTAATGATCATTAATATTCAGAATAAATTTACTAAAAATATGTTTCAGTTTTAAAACATAAATTTTTCCTGAAACGTTTCCGTGTTTAAAAAAATAGCTGCTAAAAATACATTCCCTGTGAATTTTTGTTCTGCGGCAAATCATTAATATTGGAATGGAAACGTTTTTTGCGCATTTAAAATATATATTCTCTTCTTTTGCAGAATGGCACGGATAATGGATCCATAACCGCGGCAAAGTACGTCGAGGAAAAGCGCCGTGATTGATAGGCTATCATGCACCTGCACCATTACCGCCCTGAAAGCCGACGGAAGGAGAAAGAGAAAGAATTCATCATGCGAGCCGTTTTGAATCCGACTGAAGTGAAATAGATTGCCGCGAGATATGTATAAAGTGTGCTCGGAATCAATTTACATGGAAATGTGCGCTGCGTGCAAAATGGGAGGCACAAAAAAAATGTAACAAAAAGTCTTGCCAGGCGATACGCATGACGGCGAACACCGAGATAAGCAAACTTCAATTAAAACCCAGTCAGTCAGGTTGTGTACGCACGCCACCGATTGTTACACATCAAGTGACAGAGCGGTCTGTTTAGATATACGAAAGGGATATGGATTGCGGTTTTGTACGGATATTGCTCACTGTCAGTGAATTGATATGAACCGTTATCATTTTAATTACTCGTTTTGAAATAATTTTTTTTTTTTTAAATATAAAAAATAATCTTTCAAAAGTAAACTAAATTTTTCAAACTTTTATCACTTTTAAATTTTATTTTTTTGTTCTAAAAATCAAATTTTAACAAGTAAAATCTTTTAAATTTTTTAACTCTGCTTTTTATTTTATCTTTTGCCTTAGAATATAAAAAATTAAAAAAATTTGTTTCTTCTGTTAATTTATTCAATATTTTATCCACGTCTTCATATAAATATTTTTATTTTTTTAATTCTCCACTGTTCTATCATTTTAAAGCTCATGAGCTCTTCTGATATTTTTTAAAATTAAATTTCACTTTAAATTTATACATTGTCAAACAGTTTAGTGTTTGTGTTCTCTTGTTTTGATAAACAATTACGATAATTTCAATTTACTTGTTCAACTTCGTTCCAAGTGCTAAATCCGTTTTTCAAATAGGACGCGTGAAAATTAAGCGGCCGCAATCAGTGCAGCAAACGTCCTGCAGCTGATTGATTAATTCGCAAACAAGCAACCGCCAGCCCGCTCTGTGTAGGCGAGAATAAATCGAGATTAATTCACAGCTCTGCACACATGTGTTGCGGTCGGTCATATTCAAATTAGAGTTGACGAATGGCAGTGTGTGTGTGCAAATCGCACCGTCCGGCAGATGCTTTCGGTCATAGTTGACGAGCACAAATTATGGCGCAATTCAAATAAGAACGTCTCTTCAAATTGCAGAGAGTCCTTTCGACTGCTCTTGCCAGACTCGCAGCATCAAAGTACTTACCGCTCACAAGTAGTCAAAGGGATCGAAACGTCTGTGGAGACGACCGTCGTCTGGAACAAAAGAAAAGCGGATTTTAAAAAATGAACGTGGAGAAGGAGATTACGAGCGAGGAAAAAATAAGCGGAAAATAACGTACGAACCGGGAAAGTGCAAAGTTCAAAGTTCGCCAATATTCTGCGCAAGTGATTCATGAAATGATGTGAAAATTAGCGCAGCAGTTACAGTTTAAACTCTGTATTATTTTAATGTTTTTTGAGCAACAATCACAATTTTGCTTCATTCTTTGAGATCCTTGTTAGCGAAATTAGAAATTCTTTTCGGCGCCTATTTAAATTATAAAATTCCGGCAAATCACTTTACATATAATTTGCAGGTTGTGTACAGAAAACACAGTTTAATTTAAACAATAATTATTAAAAAATATGCAAACAATATCAAACCCTTGAAGGTCGTGTACTGAAAAAGCGTGCCCGAAAAATTTAATTTTTTTTCTTGTAATTTTATTCAATTTAATTTTTTTAAATTAAATACGCAAGTTTTTTAACAAGTAAACGTGATTTGGAATGCAATTGAAGCTAAGAAAAGATGTGAAAAAGACCAGCCCAGTGGGGATTTGAACCCGTCTTGGTGGCCCCGCAGGTCTGTAGGTACCTTACAGCCTGAGAGTCCCACCGTGCAAGCTCATTACCCACTGGGCTGGCCGGTGCACCAAAGAATGTGCTGAAAAAATCGGCTTATGTACAGTGACAGGCCAAACAAGGTTCGCGCATCACAACAATGAAACATAACTTAGAGCAACAATCACAATTTGCTCTAGTTGTTGTGTTCCTTGTTGGCGAATTCAGAAATTCTTTTCGGCGCCTATTTAAATTATAAAATTCTGGCATATCACTTTACATATTATTTGCAGGTTGTGTAAAGAAAATACAGTTAAATTAAAACAATAATAATTAAAAAATATGCAAACAATATCGAGCCCTTGAAGGTCGTGTACTGAAAAATGCGTGCCCGTAAAATATAATTTTATTTCTTGTAATTTTATTCAATTTAATTTTTTTTAGTTGAATACGCAAGTTTTTTAACAAGTAAACGTGATTTGGAATGCAATTGAACCTAAGAAAAGATGTGAAAAAGGCCAGCCCAGTTGGGTTTTGAACCCGGCTGGGTAGGGTATCGCAGGTCTGTCTACCGTACAGACCCAAGAGTCCTACTGTGCGCGCCTCCACCCACTGGGCTGGCCGCTGCTCCAAGGAATGTGCTGAAAAAAATCGGCTTATCAACAGTGACAGGCCAAACAAGGTTCGTGCATCACAACAATGAAACATAACTTTGATTGTTTTAAATTATTTTTCACGAATTTCAATACGAAAAATCCGAAAAAATAAAATAAAATACTAGTCAACTTTCTTGAACTCTCAATATCTAAAAGCATATATATAATTATTTATAATTTGATTTATCCAGATTTATCATTTTAAAATTGGAACTGAGTTGCATAATTAAGAAATTAGCTTTGCACTGAAATTTTTTGAAGATTTTTTGATTCAATTAATTGTAAATTTTAAGCCAAAAGTCATTAAAATTAAATTCTAGCCTTATTCTTGTGGTAAATTCACAAAATTGATAATTATTAATTTTGGATGAGAAATTTTAAACTTAACTCAAATAGGAGGATTTTTTATTCTTATAAAAATGTGAATTTTTTTTTTCATTTTAGATTTTAGATACAAACACTTTTTTTAAGTTTGCTTGTTCAGATTAACTAAAAAAATCCATTATGCCTTTGTTAATAAACAAAATTCATAAAATTTCGTGGTCATTATAATTCATTATTTCGAGCTTCTAGAATCAATTTTGGGAATTCACATTAAAGGGGCTATAATCATAAACAATTTCTCTTTTCCAATAATCATATTACGATCCACCTAACTAAACGCAAACAAAAAGCAGTGACTTTTGATGGTAGTTTCGCGTGATTCGGTCGACATTTCGCAACGAGCACCGAATTTGTCTCATGCACATCAAGAAATCAGGCAAGAGCTCCTCCTTTTGTATCAAAACTTTTATTGCCCATTGCTCACAATCAGCCAGATTAATTCTGCGGCCGTTTCGTAACTGCGTGACCAAATTAATTGCGTCCACATCGTGGTTGCGGTCATGTCGCATTAATTAATCTGGCCAAAGCAGTCTATCTATTTGAACCACAAATATTTGGCTTGATCAAAGTTAACCTTTGGCACCGCTGGCGTTTCAACTAAACAAATTTATTTGAAATTACATTTGAAAATAAAAAAAATGAGTGGTTCCGTGCAAAGCCTTTCAAAAGAATAGCTGTAGGGAGGTTTATAAAAATGTATATATAAAAATTCGAATATATATCATTCCGTCTACAAAGAGGATTATTCAAAGACATCTGTTTATGGTGGGTCGGCTCAAAAATTTATATTCCCTCTCGAGAGGAGCTCAGCTTCTCGGAATGGGAGAAACAAAAAGCAGCCGAGAGAGAGAGAGAAGATAAATTACTAAAACTCGTTAGTCATGCAAGGTCGATTAGAGAACGTGGAAAACTCTCTCGCCTATTTTTTTTCTATCCGCATCTCTCACAACAATAAAAATTATTATTTATCCTCACCCGTTTACCGGTTTGATTTATTCCGGTGAAGAGAAACAAATCGGATCGAAGGAAGCAGTGCGGACGCGTCGATGAAAATGCTGCTTTTTGCGAGCGCCGAGTGCTGACTGACAAAAAATGAACGAACGCTCGAGTGGAATCGCTCTGTGTGCCATCTCGGCGAAATACTGTCTGCGCGCTTCCCTTTCGACGAGTCAGTCAGTCTAGCGGAGAGTGAAGTGCGTTGGAATAAGGGAAGTGGAGGAAGGAAGATCATTGAAACTTTTCAACAGGCTGGCTCGGAATTTATTTTTCGCCAAACCATCTGCGCGCTTGCTCGTTATTTTCGTCTTACACTTTTTCTGCTAATTGCACAACTTTTTGCAAATTCGTTACGAAAAGTTGAATTTACAAAAGGATCGTATGAACCGAAAATTAAGCTTGTTTGAGCGACGAAAGTTTACTGTATTGAGGAAAATTTATTATTTAGAATTCAACATATTTTTAGGGATTCCAAACGGAAATTGCACAATTTACATTTAAACTCTTAAAATTATTTTCTTTGAATCTTACTGGGTGAAGTAAAATTTTAATAATAGGCAACGGTTTGGTATGTTGAAATTTTAAAAAATTCTAAGGGGTAATTTTCCCATAAGAAATTCAAACTAATCAAATATCCTGTTCCCGAGAGAAGAGTTTTGAAACATGATTTAAATTACAAAATTTTATTAATTTTTAATCCTTGAGAGAAATAAATTTATTCAAATTATACATTTTATTAATTTATAAATTAAAATCCAAAATAAGAACAAACTGCATCATCCACAAACGCATTTGAAAGGTTTTCTGCTCAAATTTGTTTATAAACTTTAGTTTTTTCCTGATCACATTCAAATACTCACCATATTTTTTGTCTCAAACAATTTTACTCACTTGGCACAAATTAGCATTTCAAAAACGTTGTTACAAATACTAGGAACACCTTTTTTTCAATTTCCAACATACAAGAATTCCAATCAAATTAATCCTGCGGTTCATTTTCCTGGATGTTAATTCTCTTTTTGCGAATGATTGAAAAGCATCGAATTTTCAGTCGGCAGTTCAAAGCAGCATTAGCGACGTAGCGACCATTCGGCCGGCACACGCTCCATTAAAAGCACTTTCCATCTGTTTTAATGGCTGAAGAGGATAAAGGGCGCTGAATGGAAAGTGTACCAGCCAAAGGGACACAAATGCACACTACTTTTATGTGCCCACATTCGCAAAAATGCCCAAACGCACGCGGCTCAAAAAGTTTTTGTTTTGTTTGCTCGCACCGGCAGGACGCATAAAAGCGGCATCACTTTAGTCCGACATCCGCCACGTTTTGCAAATGGACAGGAAAAAACCTTTTTGCGCGAATAAATATGCCGGGCGCGTCTTTCGATTGCAACACACGGCAGAGGACCGCTCGCACTTTTGAAACAATAAAAGTAAAGAATGGGTGATACTTCTGGAGCTTTTACTGCGGGTACAAAATTTAGATTTGATGCATGACGCACCCTCTCGCCAAAGAAAAATGGAATATTATGGGGATATTCTCACTTCCAAAATTAAAATAACGCTAAATAACTTTTGAATTTTTCTTTCAAAATTACAATTTAAAAAAAAATTTACTATAGATTTATAATTACTTTTGTAATTTATTTCTCAATATCTGAATACTTTTAAACTGCGAGTCAGATTTTTCAGCGTGAGTTCCAACACACTTGGTTTGATATTTATATATTGACTGGAGGGCGTTGATAGAAAGAGTCTGTCTGGTGCAAAAGCTAGAGGCAGTTGAGAGCCAATACGTGCATATAAAAGCGGCCGGGACTCTGTCGGGACGGCGGGAATTGTATTTTTATTTTCATAATACGGAGAGGACCGGTGCCAGCGCCACTCTCGCTCGGTGATGGATATTTCAGCCGGCGTCTCAATTGGATTGCAGCGCACTAAAAGCAAAGCGCGCGCTCGTGTGCCCATACAAATGCGGTACATTATGCATGCGCCCCGTTTTTCTTACCTATATAGAAAGGCGCGAGTATGCAATTTGCTCGAATCGAATGGCGGAATGAGGAGGAAAGTTGGTGCGCGCCGCAGAAACTCAATTTCAAGAGGCATTTTGAACAGGGATTGAGGAAAGGCGAGCTTGAATGGCGACAAATGTTAAAAATAGATTGAATAAAAAAATGAAGCCTCAAAAGATTAAAAAAGCAGATCTCCATTTGCAAGATTGGAAAAGATACCAAAGGTGCGTGCGTCTATTTACGGTCACGGAAAGCAATTAAAAATAATCATGTACCTGCAAGAAAGAACATTTCCACTATATTTGGGCATCTGAAATATAAATGATGAATTTAAACAGTGAATTTTTATTTTAAAAACTATTTTATTTGCATTTTTCCTGTTTTAATA